TTACCGATGCCATAACATTTCCAAACTCTTAGACCGGTATCTCCATATTCGGAGTTGTGGAAGCTACAAAAATGCTCAATCTTATTTATATAGAGAGTGTTCTTTGATTCGTCGACTATGCTCTGCAGCTGTTGTTCCCTTTACTGGGTGTTGCGTCAATGCATCTCTCATGTCCACGGCAGGTAGAACATCGTGCCCTTTGTTGCAGTAAGCACGAATAGAGGACTTCATTGGACAGAGGATACGATCGCGAATGTCTTTACCAGACTGCGGCTCCGAGTAGTGATAACTATGAACTTCAACCCCAACTCCTTTTGCGACATCTCTTACAGCAGTTACTAGGGAGCTGTTGTGATAGCAACCGGCTTCATCTGACCTCAGATGGACTTTCTGCAACAAAGGATTCTTGACAGCTGCTTCAGAAGATCTACGAGAATTGACGTAACTGCATATCAGTCCTGAGTACACTGATCAAAGAGGTGAGCGTGCGAGATGACTTCCATCGTGTTAGACTGGCTTCGAGACACAATGCTACTAATGTGCCAACTTAACCCTCTTTTTCCGTACCAGTCACTTTGCTTCTCTCTATAGCGCAGCTGCAGAAACTTCATGGCGGAACAGCTACATTGGATAAGTAACGCTATAGAACATTTTCAATGGAGTATCCAAAGTAATCCTGGACTGCGTAGGCTTTATTAAGCTGTTCTCTGTGTCCGTGAGTGCCGTGCGTTAGACTTAAAGAATGTCATTGATCTTACGTTTAAATACCCCCAGAGACTCTGTGTTCCTTATATCGCATGGTAGACTGTTCCATAATGTGGCGCCATTGTAGCTAAAGCTTTTTCGGTAATAATTAGTGCGCGGTAATGGAACATTGAGCTTATTTTCAGAGTCCTTGAGGTCATAAGCAGAGTCACGCCACGTAAACTTTGAACACAGATACTCTGGAGCTAGCCCGTGCAGACATCTAAACATCATGGTGGCTTTGTGAATTTCCTGCTGGCGTGCAAGATTTTTCCACCTTAAAAACTCGAGTAGCTCAGTTGCATCAGCATCATAATTAGAGAATGTCAACGCACGGGCTGCTCTATTCTGCAATTTCTGCATTTTCTGCAATTTTCTAGTAGCGTTTACCCACAGTTACCCCAAACAATGTCACAGTAATCAAAGTGATGTTTTACCAAGGCTTGGTAAACGAGATGTAAGGTTGATGCTGGGATCAGGTGCCTAATTCGCTTTAGGGCCCCGATACCAGAGGCGATCTTTTTGGTTAATTTTTCGATGTGACTATGCCAATCGAGTTTATCGTCTACTATTACACCAAGCGATTTCGTAGCTGTAACCTGGCTCACTTGAGTATTGTTCATTGTAATTGTTGGTGAAGCTGTGAGAGTATTCAGTCTCTGCCTCGACCCTATTAATGTGAGCTTTCCACTGGACGATAGCCTCCGAAGATTTCTGGATGTCGTACAACAAGTCATTTTTTTTGTCCTCGCTGTAAAAACTTAAGATTTTGTTATCCTTAACAATCTGTTGCATCTTCTGCAAAACGAAAGTAATCTCGTTTCATTGAGGGCAGAGAAGCGTGTGTTGATGTGAGCATTGTTCCTGGAAATCTGGATCGTTTGGATCGCTGAGATCAAACATACGACAGTGGTCGGGACATTCGCCCTCATCTTCCTGGCAGTGACTCTGAAACTGAGTTTTGAGGTACCTCTTACCCTCGCTGAGGGCTCTCCGCAGTTCTTCTGCCACGTTCTTTGCGAGCCCAATCAGATCAAGCTCGTCCACTGTTCGGAGGAGTTGCGCGAACCCCGTCGACCCATCAGCTGCTGTGTTATCCAGGCCGCTAAGGTACTTCTGTTGATAGGCTTCCCTTACCTCGAGGATGCGAAATAGGGTTGAACGGCTTAGTGGTTCAAATTGTTTTTCTTCGCAGAACTGAAGGTACTGCTTGACCATTGTTGACCTTGTGACTTTGCGAATGACATTTGGCATTGTGATTTTCTCGCCACTGCTGAGCCTCAGTTTCCTCGTTCTAAATGACAAGTCTTGATAAAAGTACGGGCGGTTCGCGAAGTCTAAGAAATGGTCAAGCTTTATTGGTGACAGTCGAACTCGATGACACGGGGACTTTTCGACCAAAGAACCTGGACCACACTCTCTTGCATGAGCTCTAGCGCGTCTAATTCGCCACTCGCTTAACTTTGCGTAGGGCTCGTGGATTTTCTGAAGTGTCTTCACTGGATATCGATACGTATATAGGCTTAGAATTTGGGTCATCAAGGTACTCGTTATGGCGTTGCTGTAGGCCTGCATCAACGGTAAAAGGTCTAAGTAGCTGGTCCCTGTAAAACAGGCCTGAAATAGCTGTTGTCCAGCCTTGGGCGCTATGATATCACAAACGAGAGTACAAGCTTCAGTAACGTTGTCAATGCAAATCTCTTTCTCGTGTTCTTTTGCCTCCTCCCATGTACTTTTCAGCTGAAAGGTCAAGGGACTGACGCGGCCAGCACCGGTTGCTACCGGGTTCAGTTTCTCCATGGCATCTGTAAACGCTGACATTGCTAACTCGCTGGTACTTTCAGCTGCCTCGTCGTCTCCAGAGCCTGGCTGTTGGTCTCAGATCTGCATCCCAGAGTCCAATCAGCTGTAAAGGCATTTGCTTTCGGTCGAGGCGGCGTCGCGCCAAGCTTTATTGGTGGCAGGCATTGATGTGACTGTTGCAAGATTTAAAGCTGCCATTCGTTTGGCGAGTCTGGGAGTTGAGAAATCAAACAAAAATTTGAAGTCCTCCCACCATGTGATTGACTGCATGGTGTGTCCACACTGAAATCTTTGCGCGCATTGTTGCGAAAGAAGCAATACGCGCAAAAAATTCCGTTCTGTTCACCATCAGCACCACCACGTGCAATTGTATGGTACATTAATCAACCATTTTCTCTTTTTAAGTCATCCAATTTAAAGCCAAAACACTATTTGTCACTTTTTTTCGAAAATGTTGCCCATTTTGGCCACGTACCTGTAAACATAACTTGATTGCTGCATCAGCAATGTTGCGCAAAATGTTATAGTGTGTGGCCACGCCGAGAAAACAATTTTGCTTGCACGCAACATTTCAATTGAACATTTGTGCTTAAAAGTTCTTTAGGTGTCAATACATATGATGGTCTGCTTTATCTATGGGATCAGGTAGCGTTATATCACCTATAAGGTTCGTCCTCTTCCTGAGTACTTTTTTAGGGACGTTGCCCTTGCAACAACGTCATGTTCTCCGCGAGTTTGATCTTGTGCAGCTTGTAACAAGATACGTAGATTACTGAAAAGCACGAAATACAACAATAATGCAAAATGATAATAAGCAACAATACTTATAGGTAACATAAAAATTGTTGCACTGTGATCACGTGACCCCGGGTACTCTCTTAAATTTCGGATAGGGGTGTGTTGCAAAGGTTGTTAAACTCTGACTCTTTATAGGGATAAAAGGGCGAAAATCGATGCCTGCTCGTTTTTATATCAATAACACAAAAGAGCTTTGTGTAAATGTATAAATGTCAAAAACAGAAGGAATGTTATTTTGCATCGGCGTAAACATTGGTGTCAAATTACTCTCCAAGTTTATTTATCTAGT